ATTATGGAAGCCTCATCGAACGACTGTAGGCTTTCATCAACGCCTATTGCGTTCACCCGGGTTACTTCAAAGGAATAGATCTTTTTTTAACCGTTTGCATAGTACAGTAAGCTCTGATTGAATTTAGCAAAATGCAAGTGATTATTTTGTTCAAACAATAATAATTTCTCTATGGATATGTGAATGCCGGCCGAATGCAAAATTCTTGACGGTCATAAAAAAGAATAATTTGAATATGGTTGCATACTAAACGCCGTCAATAATACAAATTACTGTCATGCAACTGATGAGCTAAGCTGAAATTTAATAGAAATCATCGGAGTTCCATTAGCATGAAGAAAAAATTTTTTTCACACTCGATCGCACCAAAAAAACACAAAAATACTGATTCAAACAGATTTGATTTATTGTTTTTATTGCGATGACCAACTTTTCCAAACAAGGGAAAGAACGATCCGGACAAAAATTTCACACAAAAACTTCATATCGCACGTCACCATTTATCTATCATATTGAATGCGTAGAGAACGGTATCGAATGAACGCCCACACCAAACAATTAATGAAGAAAAAGTCACGGATTTTCTCTCTCGTCAGCCGATGAAGTTTCGCACGTATGAACTGTATCACACATCGTCGACAGTTCACTTCGACGTTCACACTATACTAGCCAAATGTACGTGTGTATTGATGATGCTGTCCATTCGCAAAATTGGACGAATCTCGCACTCATTCAGAATTATTTTCGTAGTATGTCTCATGTTTGTGTTTATGTTTGACGTGATTTATTTTGTGTAAATTTCAATTTGAGAATTCAGCGTGCACGAATAGGGATTCTCAGTTTTTTCTTTGCTTGGTACACTAACTGCCCGCGTACAAAAAAATATATTTCCAAATAGAACAATTAGTTTGATTATTTATTGTGAAAATGAGTTTAGCATCGTTTATATCGGAATTCAGTAATTGTTCATCATTCGATTTTAATGCACGACCAAAGCCACCAATACGAAGAAAACGAATCCGTTCACTTTTGGTAACAGCCCGCACAAACGGTTTGAATTTTTTGAAAAAGAAACAAATCTCATTGCGTTCTTTCAAGTTGCATGATGACTTTACTATTTTAACTCGCATGCACTTGCATGATTAATCTGCTCAATATGATTTTATATTGTTCTCGAAAATATTCGTTGTTTTAACTCCAATCCTTCCATTCTAAACAGATGACCCTATCAACAAATCGACCACTGTACGAAGAGGAATGGTTCCATGGTGTATTGCCACGCGAGGAAGTCGTTCGATTGCTGAAAAATGAAGGCGATTTTTTGGTGCGTGAAACAATTCGAAACGATGAAAGTCAAATAGTATTAAGTGTTTGCTGGAATGGTCACAAACACTTTATCGTGCAAACGACCATTGATGGTCACTATCGCTTTGAAGGTCCCGCATTTCCAAGTATACAAGAACTGATTATGCATCAACACTTATCCGAATTGCCGGTGACTGGTCGTTCGGGTGCCGTACTCAAGCGACCTGTAACTCGCGAAATTTGGGAGTTAAGCAATGACGATGTTGTTTTGTTGGATAAAATTGGACGAGTAAGTATATCATCGCTCGAATGGCATCCAATCTTGAACTTGACCCAAATACCAAATTTATTTCGTAGGGGAATTTCGGAGATGTGTACAAGGCTCGTTTGAAATCGAATAAAAATGAGGTTGCCGTGAAAACCTGTCGCATGACATTGCCCGATGAACAAAAGCGTAAATTTTTGCAAGAGGGCCGCATCTTAAAACAGTACGATCATCCAAATATAGTCAAGCTGATTGGAATATGTGTACAAAAGCAACCAATAATGATTGTTATGGAGCTAGTGCCCGGTGGTTCGTTGCTAAGTTTCTTAAGAAAAAACAGCGCCACATTGAACACTAAGCAATTGATTGGAATGTGTAGGGATGCTGCAGCAGGTAATTCGAATAAACAGTGTAAGAAAAGTCTCTCCCATCATGCTTAAAAATTTTGTCATCCAATGCTTAGGTATGCGATATTTGGAATCCAAGAACTGCATCCACCGAGACTTAGCCGCACGCAATTGCTTGATAGGATATGAGAACATAGTGAAAATTTCCGACTTTGGGATGTCACGAGAGGAAGAAGAATATATTGGTAAGAAATATGGCATAGAACATACTTATATGTTTCGCATCGAAACGCATGAATTTTCACAATAATTTCCCTTTAATCATAGTATCCGATGGAATGAAACAAATTCCCATCAAATGGACTGCACCAGAAGCGCTAAATTTCGGAAAGTACACAAGTCTGTGCGACGTTTGGTCGTATGGAATATTAATGTTCGAGATTTTTTCCAAAGGTGATACGCCTTATGCTGGTATGAGCAATTCACGAGCTAGGGAACGAATCGATGCTGGTACATATTACACATTTCAATTTTTATATCGTCTAAAAGCTACTTATTTATGATACGTGTTTTCATTTGAAAAAAAAAAAAACAAACATAGGTTATCGGATGCAGGCTCCAGAATGTGCAACACCTGAAATCTACAGACTTATGCTGAAATGTTGGGAATACGAGCCGGAAAGCCGCCCTCACTTTGACGAAATACACACAATAGTAGACTCACTAGCAAATAGTTAAGTCCACCGTCCGTAGAAGATAAATAAACTGATAAAAAATTATTGAACAAACCCGCTACTTCATCTCAAACATATATACATACAAATTCTCCATTTTTATAAAAATAAATATCATAATGAATCGAAATTTATATCCGGAAGACTTTCTCCCTTTTCATTTCTTTATGCCTGAAATATAATGATTTTTAATCAATTCACTTTTCGCTTGATAAAAAAATATTTATTTCCTGTTTTCTTTCTTGTCAAATAAAATGTAAAGCAGATGCATTTTCATTCCGTTCGTACAAAACTGAAACAATTAAAGGTAGAGCTTGATGAGTTCATCGCTAACCGCCGATGGGGTGAGTATGCCAATATCGGTGAAAAGTAGCGTAATATAAGCTGGAGATGTGTAATCGACTAAAGGATGCGCTTGAGCTAGTTCTTTTTCTTTACCCAAACTCTGTTTTGAGAATTTATAGTCATTGGGTAGATCACGCTGGTTCAGTGGATATAGCCGGGAAAATTTCAAACTTTCAGCCAAAACATAGAAGGGTTTTTTCATTTCACGAGCGCATAAAGCCATCGTATAAGTTCCCACTCTATTGATAATTCCACCACTTTCAACGACACCCTCGGCTCCAACTAGAACAATGTCTATCGATTCCATGATGTATCCTATGGCCGCATCTAGGATTAATGTGCATTCGATGCCGGCCTTTTTCAGTTCGTCACACATTTGCTCGCCTGTGTTGTCCGGTGAACTTCTAGTCACGTACACGTGAAATCGTTTGTTCGACTTAGCAGCCACAGTCAATGTCTCGAGAACGGCCCGCGATCGGGCATGCGTTAGCACTCGCTGTGTATGAAAAAAAATAAAAAGAGAGTATTTTCGATATGATGGAATAATAGGGCAAAATTTTTCTCATTTACTTACACAACCATCCGTAACAAACTGAGCACATTGCTTTGCTATAATGTTCCGCGCTTCGAGCAATTTCTTCAAGAAAACTTGTCCACGGTGCAACATGAGCTTTTTACACTCATCCGCTGTTTTATCATCAAATGTCGCAAACGTGATGAATCGCGAAAACAGTTCGCTAGCTGAAACGATGGCTGTTATTGGGTGGTCTGACGTTCTCATCGTTTTAACGGCCGATTGAATTCTTGAGTGCAATTCTTGCACAGTGTCAACTGTAAGTTATTGAAAATATGATGAAATTCGATGCAATCAATCAATGCAGGCAGCAAGGACTTACATTTCGTTTTTTCTAAGACCATAAGCAAGGTTTTGATGGCAGCAATACCAGCCGATAAACTTTTATCTTCGCTCAGTTGATGCGAAAAATATTTTTCCACGTCGACCTCGGCATTGGAATGGACTGAAATGAACGAGAAAACCAGAAAGTTGAACTCATAATAACATCAGATGTGATTCCATTTGAAAGAATTTAAATCAACTTAAAACGATACTAACCGATTCTTTTCTCTTTTTTCTTGTCCTGTTTCCCCATTTTATCCGTTGAAACTGCTGCCGAAAAATTTAATGTGTACGAACTATTTCTTTTGTTCTCTGAGATATTGTTCGTAAAAATATTGGAAGAAACAGCATTTAAGCCAGCGATGAATGCGTATATTCACTTCTGACAGATCCTTTTACGAAAACGTCAATGTCACCACTCACGGTATACGTCACATTCGGTATACGAAATTTGGAACCAATTTTCGAATAAGAATTAACTTCGTTACGTATCGGTTCAGAGGAAGAAATAACCAACCAAGTTTCTCTAGTTCCCATCAAAGTCTGTAATCGTAATTGGCCTAAAAACGCTCTTTATTCAAGTGTTCAAAATTTTATTTTTACCAATTTTTCTCTCGAAAGCCCGTTAAACTCGAACATTTTCGTTATGTCATGAATCAAATCGAAATAGAAGTGATTTGAAGGTACACGAACACATAGACGAAAGTGCACGCATACAACGCCATCGCCTCGTTTGTATGCCTTTCCAATCGGTAAACCTACACCCGTCGACCAATCAAATCGTCGCAATTCGGTCACATGATCTTATTTTCGCTGTGAACAACACACAAAATATTTCATGTCATCCACTGGGTAATAACAAGACTACTACGGCACAGCCAAAGGAAAATAATCGACGGAGAAAAGGTTTCTGTGCGTTAAGTAATTGTGAGTGGTGAAAAGGTTGATCGTGTCATTTTCAATTTCAAAATACAAATAATTTCTCCATTGGGCTAATATTTTAATCGGATATTCAAATCGAATTGAGTAAGTAAATTCTGTTTTTCATCAATTTCAAACGAAATTCGACGCAATAAGGCTGAAAATAAATGATGAAATCGAGACACATAAAAAAAAATGTTCACCAAAGTATATGTAGTGTATGTGCACTGTAACCAGTTTGTTGTTCGCAATGGCAGCCATTTTTACATTGGGCTGATTCGTCGTCGTGTAATTAAACATCACACAATGGTTTGAGAAATCAAATAAATGAATCACAAAAATGAGGGCGATCATACAATTTCACCATATTTATAATGAAATCAATGAAAATTTACATTTTTCCTTTAATTTCCATTTACATGCCTATGAGTTAAAAAAATCACAAAGAAGAAGAAGAAAGAAAAAAAATTCACTCGATACAGCAAGCAATTAATTTTGTGAGATTAATTTTGTTTCGTGGCTACAAATTTCCGTCGTTGAAGAAATATTCAAATAAATCTCTTGGTGTGCTGGTAATGCATTGTAGAAAAAAAGCCGTGAAAATTTCATTAGTTTCTGTAGCTTGCAAAAGAAGCGAAGAAAAAAACAGAAGGCAAAATGAAACGAATGACGAAATATCATAATTATGCACCCTTTGTTTGTGAAGAAACCACAACCGTCATTTGGAACATTTAGTTGAAAACGTTTAAGAATTCTGAATTCGAATATTAAGAACAACTAATGACGATTCATTTCACTTGCCATTTCATTTCAAACTCATTTTGACACACACACAAACACAGTGTGTTCCATTTTGTTCTCTTGAAAACTAAACTTGCTCCCTTATTTATCAGAAATGTTTTTGAAATAAGTGCCCGAAATAATAACGGTTCAGCTATTCAGAAATGCTCAGTGACATTCTTTTGTGTCCTTGTGTCTTATGTATATGCAAATTGAAAGTTGGACTATTATTTTTGGCAACAGAGCGACTAACGGTAGGTCTAACCTACACAAATACAAACACACTACATTCGGTTGCAATTTCAAGTGCGTATAAATTAGAGAAGTGAACCATTATTTCTACATATGTGTGTGTGTGTGTGTGTGTCAGTGTAGAAATAAATAAAGAAAAATGTTTAAAATTTCTAATTTTTTTTTTCGTTTAAAAAACGTGTAAGTTACATTTTTAATTGAATTTTGTGGAACATTTAGTTAACAAGCTGGAACGGTCGACAACAATATGACATGTCGTTCCATTTGAATCGATATTTGCCTTTGTTTGACATCATACTCCCATTTATTATTGGCGAATAGATGACGCGCGCAAGTGTATGAGTTTCAGCTGACTATTTGCCAAACACTCGGGGCTACAAAATAGACGTACAATTGGTTGCCATGTGGATAGACGAATGTTAGACAAAGTGCAATGATAGTGTGCATGGTTATATCCTCAGTAATAATCAGTTGCTTGCTGTGTGAGAAATGCGATTGTTTCTATGTAATTTTTTATGTGTGCAATTGTGCATTCATAGAATCAATTGGCAGGCAGAAGAAATCGAAGTGGCAGAAGAAGAAATTTGAATTCATGAACCTATATTTTGTGTGTGTGATATTTCTCTGAATAAATCAGACGGTTCACAAGCTCATCTAGCAACAATTAAAGTGAAACCGAGGTTCCAAATATGCAAAACGGTTCCATTTAAATATATTTCCCAACGCCTGGAATACGCGTGATTACTTCACAATGAGATTTAGTTTTGCAATCAATTTTTGAAGGCAATGCACACTTACTTCTTCGCACCGCGATGACAATTCTCATTGTTTACCATTGTTTAGGTTTCAATTTAACACATCTGTGGGTAATATTGACGTAACACTCATTCATTGTGTACACATCAATTTTACATTATTACTACCCGAACCAACCAGTAGAACCGATGAAATTGAGCGAGAGAAAGAAATCAAATGCTGTTTGAACGATGCGCGTTTTTATTATTGTGGAAAATTGTCCGATTTTTCTTCCATGTTTGTGCTCACGGGAAATGGCAGCGAAATGGCACCGATGGTTAACTCAAACCAAAACAAAAACATTCTATTTAATCATGTGCCCCGATGACAAAGACTGTTTTGTATACACTACATATAAATATGTGCGTACTTGCGTGCCTACTCATCAGTCTGCATGGATATATACAAATACAGTTACCACGTACACACACACACACACACGTCGCCCCGCTATAATGCGAGGGATTCGCAAAAGATATAATAGTACCAGTATATCATGTCATGTCCCACATATTTTATTACATTCAATCAGCACACTCACACGCGGCCCGCCAAATTACCATTTCATGTAGGAAATATACACAATCTTTTTTTTTCCAATTCATATTTCAATTGTTTCTCAAGTCTCACTTAGGTCAATTGACGCTATTCGAAATTGGAAGAAACAAGACTGTTACATTACAGCTCATTTTTTCGTCTTTGGAAACGAGTGCAAGAAAACAAAGAAGAAAAAAAACACCAATTTCAATTCGATTTTCAAGCATGAGCATTTTTCAATTGAATTCAAATCACCTTCTCTAAGTGGAATCATTGTTCATTTGAACTCTAATTATGATATAACGCCGTTTGTAAATCAAATCAAAATTGGCATTTATAGGTTACAATAAAACTCAAATGACGCAATAATTTCTTAGTTCTTAATTCTCGGATCATCTGAAACCGAACTGAACCAAAATGTACTGAACATCTTCTCTGGGTTATACTTGACCTTAGGAATTTTGTCAAACGCATGCCACAATATCTGAAACAGAGAATCATTCGGCAATGAATTGGTTTGAATGTTTAATCAGAATATCCGCTGTAGAAGAAACGTGAGTTTTACTGAGCTCGATCGTTAGAAACCAAATAAATACATATGATGAAGGCGGAATGACAGACAATTATTCACCAGATTCATGTGCATAAGACGATAATGTTATGATATGCAACAATAAAAATAGAATCAAATGAATGTAAATGAAATTCTTTACAAAACAATACGGTAGGTTTTTATTGTGCACATAATTATTGATAGCCAAATAATCGACCAAACAGTTTATCCATCATAAATATAACTAATCGAAGAATAATTATGGCATAGAAACGAACATATGAACGCAAAAATTGCTCTACCATTTTCAGAATCAAATTCAAGGTTGAAAAGAATGAATTATCGAATTTTGTTTCTCAGCACATGCCAGAGAGCAAAAAACAAATCGCCACAAAGGTCGTGCAAATGCAAATCAATGTATTGATCGAAAAAGTGATTCATTGATTCCGGCAAAATCATAGCCATCGGCATATGTTTAAATTCATTCTACCGTCACTCAAGTTTTTGTATTTCGGCTGTAATGACACACACACATACAAAGTTCACAGCAATCACAAATGCAAACACATGACATATGGTGAACTCAACAGCCTATATAACATTTGTTCACTATGCAGAGAATGATTAAAATGTTATGAACACGATACGCAAAATTAATACGACAAAAACGTGCATTTATTCAGAAAAAAAATCACACGTGATTACAATCAATGTTCGCAACTGAATGTTGATTCAATGCATGGAAAAAACGAAAGAGAGGTGAAAAACACACACACACACACACACACACACACACACACAAGGCATTCGATCAAAGCCAACAAATGAAGAAAAAAAATTAGCCCATCAACTAATGCCAGCAAACCTCGAATAAATCGATATTTACTTGTGTGCTCGAAATTAGGTCACGATGCTCAGTTATTTGCTTTCACTTGAACGTTCCATTCTTGGTAGATACCATTAATATTAAGGGTTAACACTTGGTTCACAAAGGATTCTGAGAACACTTTCTGATCGCATGGATGTTTCACCTATGAATTACTTTTTTTATTTGCTAGCATTTTGTCTCTGTATTTCACTTTGAAGCATCGAAATAGTCGAAGCCCTTTTTATGCATGTACAAGATCATTATTTATTCCATAAAATACTTCACATTGTGTATAGTTTCAGTATAAGATGTGGCAATCATAAATCCGTTCAATTCAAACTGGTTGAACGGTTCAATCATGTTTTCCTGACTCACATTCATCGTGGCAATATCGTATACGTGGAAATAAATACTATGGTTCTATGGCGTATTTGTTGACAGTCGTCGTACACGAGCCACACTTTATTGCGCCTTTGGCTTATTCAATTATTGCAACATCTTTTTCTTCACAATCTCCTGATTTCGTTTGTGCCTGTTTATCGTACGTTGTACGTTTTTTACTTCAGTCCTTGTCATATGATAACGTAGCTTCAGCATCAGCACGATCTATTACCTACAAATTTAACGCTAGTGAATAAATGTACGCATCAATGTAGTAGACGTATAGATGGGCAAATGTTATCGCCTATATGT